AATAAGGTTACAACGGAAATCGCAACGACAAATAGGAATAATATAACAGGATTAACCGAACATATCAATAACTAAATAAACTTTATTTGTTCTGAGTGAAATTAGAATATAATGAACTGTGCAACGCGAGGACAACAATAATAATCAATAAAAATGAGCTATGAGGTGAGGGTGGTGGGTGACACGGTGTCTGATCTCAGTATGTGACTTCGTTTGTTTCTTGTGTTTAATAACAGTGATTGATAGCGAGGAATTTTATAATATAGACCTAGTAGTGTGTATCCATTGAGAAAGGCAGCAATTCATATATAAGGTGTGGGTGTATGGAGTTGGCGCTAAAAGGCACATCTACTTTGGTAATGGCACAGGGATATTGGTGGTAGTGGGTAGAACTGCGACTTAATGGGTGTGCTGACGAAGGTTCGCGAAGAGTTGGCGAGGCAGGTGAGCCAGATTGGCGAGTGTGGCGGCGTAGATTACCGTCAGGAGGGTAGCACAGGCGAGAGTGGTCGGTACGAAGTAGCAGGCAGTCATGGTGTGAATCAGAAGAGGACTTAGAAGTGGTGGCCGGATGTTAAGGGAAGCGAGGAGGCACTTCGACAGAAAGCGTATCTTGGCGAGAAGTAAAATAGATCGGTAACAGAACGTCGGTGAATTAGCGTTGTGAAGTTTTCCACCGCTAGCCACCAGATGTGAACACATACACGCGCACTCACACTCACAGAAACACATGCGTGTGCGTTTGTGTATGGTATTTATGTGAGTATACTTATATCTGTAAATGTACGTAAGTATGTATGTAAACAGATACACACGCACATATTCTTTCTTGTTCCCGTTTGCCTTTAATCGCCTAAAATGGTCATATTGTGCTTGACCCTGTTGCGTGGCAGGAGTTTAAGATGGCGAATTCTAAACTGGGCTGTCACAAAAAGGAATATCCTTTTAGCTCTCATTTGGCTAAACTACATGTATTTTCAGTTTCTTTCTCTTTCTTCTCTCTCTCCAGTTGTAGTCTTAGGTTTTATTGGTAGCATTTCGAGGTACCGCTCGGTCAGATCGTAGCTGCTGGGACCTAACGCCCTTGAGAAACGGTCACGGAATGCCTTGACGTCGGGTCAGTCGTGGGTGCATATCGCCGAATTTACACTGGGACCAGCGGAGTTCCGGAGCGGACTTGCCGGCTCATGAAGAGTCAAATGGGAATTGGGAACGGGAGGCTGCGCGAGTGTCACTGGTGAATTTAAGATTCTCAGGGACAAGTTTTGCCCAGTAAAAGCCTGCTGCTCCCTTTTTGTGTGATTTATTCCCTTTTATGCCCATAGGATAACTAGGGTGCGCAGAGGTGTGGCATAACGAAGGCGTGGCCGGCGTGCCCTGCACACTTTCATGAAAAAAACTTTTCATGAAAGTGTGCAGGACGAGAAATGCATGGCTGTGACATGGGTGAGAAATGATGCAGTGAGCAGCAGTGAGCGAAATTGCCTTTTTGTTCAGGACGATACGGGCGCAACGAAAGTGACAGGACATAACAGGCAGCACCAGGACATTAGCCTTGAGGGAAACAACAGTGAGGGTAAAGATTCTGACTGTTTGAAAGAAAAGTCTCGAGCTTGGTCATCCATCGGATTTTAAGGTGCAACTACCAGTAAGGGTGTTGATCCAAATGCGGTGATTTGCCTGGTAGGCATATCAGATGTTAATTTGAAATACATACAGTATAAGTTAATTCGTTATAAGATATTCACAATTCATTATTAAAGACACACACACACACAAAGAGGGTGGGAAGACAAACAGACACAGACAGACAGACAATCAGACAGACGGTTAGACAAACAGACAGCCAGCCAGCCAGACAGACAGAAAGGCAGACAGACAGATAGGCAGACAGACAGACGGAGACGGAGACAGAGAGAATACCAAAATTTTGCAATGTAGCAAAAGACATTTATAATTATAAGTAGGAAAAAATAAACTGGCATACCATATATTATACTGAAATTGGACTGGTAAGGTGAAGCATTTCAAGCTGCATGCCGTATGCACAGTACAGTACAGTACATTAAATCACAAATATTCTATAATTGACGATAAATATATGATTTAGAAAACACAATGCAATTTACGAAATAAACATATATGTATATATATATGTATATATATATATATATATATATATATATATATATATATATATATATAATATATATATATATATATATATATATATATATATATATATATATATATATATATATATATATATATATATGTGTGTGTGTGTGTGTGTGTGTGTGTGTGCGTGTGTGTGTGTGTGTGTTTATGTATTTATATCTTTCTTTTTCTTTTTCTGTAGCTTTGTCCCATTCTTATATGGGGTCGCTATGATCAGGTTCTGGCAGATATTTTTTTATGGCCGGATGCCCTTCCTGACGCTAACTCTCTCCATTCATCCGGGCTTGGGACCGGCACTGACTATTGAGAGACTATTTGGCAA